TTTTACACATTTTATATTAGCTTCACCTGTATGTATGTATGTTTGTATGTATGTATGTATGTATGTATGTATGTATGTATGCGTGATTGTTTGTATACATGTTTGTGTGTAACTTTCAAGATCGGGATCTGTATTGACAGAGTTATCAGAAAGATTGCTTAATCTATTCGCGGGCAGATGGCACTATTCAGATGGCACTGATTTGATATTAGTGTATTTACATATAGTAAAACCAATAATGATTGAGAGTAAAGCGCGTTGTCATATCTAAATTTTACGTTACCAGTTTATAGCAGAATCAAAATATAGTAAATCAGTTTCGATGTCTATGAACTTCGAATATTAAAATATGGAATTCTGAATACTGTGTGTTTTTGTTTTAGAATATTGAAGTTGAGATTGTAATATCTTTCAATTCATGTATTTACTTAAATTAATTTGAATTAATTCATGATTATTTTCCATATTTGACAATATCTGTAAAATTTGATGCTTTGTTATGTAAATTTACATGGTTACACTGGAATCGACCGGTGTCTGAATGCGCTCGCCTCGTGATATACGCGTTGGCCGCCATTTTGCAAGGAACTGTAGATACAGAGTTATTCTGTTGTCGACACACGAGTGTTTCTTTAATTTATTGTGGTGTGATAACGTAAGTACATTACTTTCATTTTCACAATCGTCATATGCATTATTTCCCATTTTTACTGTTATGATATCAGAAGCAACGGATAAACATATTTTCATTCATTGTCACCATTGTATGTCACCAGTGAAGATCAACCTCAAGGTACTGTACATCTGCCATACATGGAAGATGTCACCAACCAAATCGGGAAAATTCTAAAGAAGAAAAAAATTATCACCGTCTTCAAACCAATGAAGAAAATATGGGAGTATCTGAGATCAGCAAAAGACAACAGAGAGTCTCTCATATCAGCGGGAGTTACAGGATTCCATGTACTTTTGGTAAAGTCTATATCGGTCAGACGAAAAGAAGCATTCGTACCTGCCTAGTCGAGCACAAGCGAAGGTGCCAATTGGGACGGACCGAGAAGTTTGCAGTCTCTGAACATGCAACGGGAAACACAAGATCCTGTTCGAAAATACCGAGAGGCTAGCAACGTCGAATAATTATTCTACCAAAGATCTGACAGACAGCGCACGAAAAATCAGCACTATAAATGACACGGCAGAAATAAGAGCTTCAGTTTCAGTTGACATGTCAAGAAAAGTACTTCGAGCATGCCACTGAAAACGACTGCCGTAGTTGCAGTCGAAACGTTTAGAGATTATAACCAATGAAAACCACGGTAAAACCCGGAAACCAACCAAAACATCTAGTTATTTCACCAATAACGCTGAATGGATTTCTTTATTTGAACCAACCTTGAGGGGGCTTAGATTTTGGAATTCACCGACATGAGATGTAAATGGTGAATATGAAGTTTTTGTGTAATTTACAGTTGATTCATTTGAATTGAAACCATTCAGGAATTTTAGGAAAATGTTCTTCAACGGTTTGTTTCATGTCTACCCAAGTTGAAGCAGTTCTTTGAGAAACACCATCAGTCACAGTTCTGGGTATACTAGAACACCCAATTTCTATACTCTGTTCGCGCTCTGATGAATAACTGGACAAAAGATCGTATGTCTTTCCCCGGTTGCCGCAATTGTTACGTTGTTCAACGGGGGTGGAAGAGAAATTTGGTTTTGGAATGAAAGTTAAACCCCCCTTCGGTATATTCCAAAACCGTATTGGTAACAAAAATATTTTTTTCGGTCACTGAAAAGTTTACTCAAATGACCACTCGGCTAGCTCAGCAATTTGGGGGTGAGTATGGAGAATAAATCCACCAAAGGGTGCTGTTCTTGATATTTTACAAAAACTTTATTGAATCTTTAACAGGTTTCAAATAACATACAATGACAAATATCAAGAGAGAATATGCAGTGTTTGTATCAACCCAAAGTGGTTTTGAGGGGTATTTCTCAAAGCAGATTAATGTATATATACATATATATAACAGAAATGCTTCCGTGCCTGTGTGATCACACCTGATTCGAGCACGTTACTTAACAGGAAACAAGTTCAATAAATCTATCAATAATAATTCTAATCTAACACTGAATCATTTACAAAACTCAGTAATCACAAATTTGATACANCACAGAGAGGAACATTGGTTTAGGAGAAAATTCAAGGAAGCCGCATACATGTTGTCCAACAACGTATTCAGCCAAGCCAGCGTAGAAATACGCAACACATGGAAACCCATCATCAAGCGAAAAATGGCCAACTCCCGCCAAACGGTCATCTCCTACGGAACCAGTGAAGCGGAAAATGGAAAGCGGGGATAAGTGAAAGTACTCGAACGCCTCTGCTTCACCCCCTAATGTTAATTATTCAAGAACAGATGTAGGCTAGTGCCTCTTCTCTGCCTCTGTGTAGCTCAATCAAGTTCTTGCTGTTGGGTGTTTATGTATGATTACAATTGTTTCGCCCTGTATTGGTCGAGTTAGTGGGCCTCCTGTCGTTCCTTAGGCATTGCTGTTTTTGTGTATGGGTTGGGTTATCCTTGGTGAAGTTGTTCGGGTACAGCTGCAGCTGGCTTGTTCGTTGGTTCGGGATCTGGTGAGTCGTGGGGGATAGGTGGAACTATTTATTTCTGGTCTCTTCAGGCAGTGGGCTGTCTTTTACCTGATCGCCAGCGGGAACTCGTCAAGAATGTCCTGGAACCGCTTCGGGATATTCTCCAGGGCTCCTAGGAGCCTCACTTGGGGAAATGGGAGCTTTTTCCTGAAGATTCTCCTTGGGACCCCGCGGAGCGTCCAGGAGGTGGCCAGCGTCTCAATTGCGGTGGTGTTGCTTCTGATTGTTCTGGTGATGTACACAGTGGAAAGTATCTCTTTAAAAGAAGATCATGGGTTACTTTGAAATGTTCATCTCTATTTTAGGGAAAAATAAACTGTTTCAAATGGAGAGCAATATCAACTTGATCTGAACACATAGTGTTTGTTTGAATTTAATACTGTATCCCTTCAAATAATTGTATTCGTTTATAACAAGAGTTTTGTGAATCTACATACAAAACTATATTATGATCGACTGAAAATACAACATCGCCAAAAAAGG